GTCGGTTAGAGATGGAAAGCTCTAAATTTTCTACAGGTCAGGGGGAGGGGCAACTGGATAAGCATAGATCTTGAGACTCATGACAGGATAATAAATGAAAATGGCGCGCCTCATCCCACTATGCACTGTGATAGGCCATCAAGGTTAACCACTCTTTGCTCGCCATACGTCATAAACCCACCAAGCAGTCACGTCAGCTCATTTTAGAGTAGAGGGAGACCATTTTATTGATTGTGAGCCTTAACATGGGTCACCATAGATTCTTCCCTGGGTTCGTCGGTTAAGATCCCGGTTCGCCTAAGATCCCGCATTTCCTTGCTCCCGAGCACCGGGATCTTAGGCAGAGACTACTGTATAAGTGAAGTGCTGAATCTGCAAAATGGTGTATCACTTTTGAGAAAAAAGAAAAGATCCACGGTATAGACAAATAAATAAATAAATAAATTAGTTTAATCTGACAGTTTCATGGCAAAAAAATAATACCACCAGAATTACACCACAATCACTGCTAAAGAATTTCAACATAAAGCATATGAAAAAACATGCAATTTGTCAGTACTAGATGTAAGATTTCCGTCTCTGGTTGACTGTAATGTGAAACTTGATTTTGCAATATGAAAATATGAGCATCATTCAAACGCGTATGTTACATGCACTTAAACAAACATAAACACCTACAGCACAGATAGACAGACGTACATACACACGCTCATGCCCATATGTACACACTTTCATACTAATAAACAAATAGACAGAATCAGATCCAACTATTCTACATTCACCTATTGACCCATAATAAACATAAAATATTCATAAACACACCATGGTGAGTGCAAGCATGCATACACACATCCTTACAATTACATACATCCATGCATGCGCATTCGCACACACACACACACACACACACACACACACAAACTCACATAAAAACACATACACACACAAACATACATGGTAGAGACACAGACTACAGGTGAGAAAGGAAAAAAGGAGCAAACCACACGAAAACATCCCGCCAGCCACCAACTGACCCTGAATAATTTTACCCTTAAGAACATAATAGCTTTCAGTCCGCTGATTGTCTTCTCAGAAGAACTTTTTTTTTGTGTCCCTTGCCCATTTCTAGGATATTGACGCCATCTGATAAGTAGAAAAATGTGCGTATGAGAGTGCCCAATAATGTATAACATACAAAATTGTTATGACATATAACTGTAACATATAGACGTTTAAGATAATTATAGATGTTTGTGAAGGATCTGAGAGCAATGATGACCTTAGAAATGACGGTGATGGTATTCTCAGAAGAACTATTAAAGTCAGTAGAACAAAAAACTACAAGTACAAGAGGAACACTCGACTGTTGTTGCCACAAGATATATGTATGTAAAGAACATATCTTTGCATTATTGCAACCTATTTCATGTAATAAATCAATAATGGCGTAACAGTACAGTAATAAATCTTAGTATAGACTACAAGAAGAAAAAGAAACAAAACTTCGTAGGACCTGAAAGCTTGATTATAAAGCTAAAACAAGCTGTATCATTAGGTTTCGGCAGATATGCACTAGCTGCCTAGATACACAAATGGCTGACTTTATTCTAATGTAATTCTTCTACCAAAATGCAATAATGGGCCTTAGACAGATAGGCATATTGACCAAAATGTTACTTACAGAGCATAGCTTTCTCTGAAGCCCAAAAACACCACATGTTTCTCATATTTGTGGGCAAAAAGTCATTAACCTCACATACCTATGCTTTTGTATAAACTTTTACCTTTTTTTCTGTTGCTAATTTTAATGCTCCCTTCCCACCATAGACGCTTGTGGTGACAGCTGCTTTTCTCACAAAAAATTTTGTAGCTACATAAACACAGCAGTATTACAGCCATGACGCTTTCCTTTAAGTGGTATCAGCACAAAAATTATAGCCTACACCGGGCCATTTACATTTTGAAACTATCCTTTCACGCCAGCTCTCTACAAATTTAGCCTGACCTGGCATTGCCAGCTGTTTTTCACACACAGTGACAGCTTGTCCATAAACTACCTAATATATTCAGGTAATATCATGGTAAAGCGAACTGTGGTATCACTGAATACGTTGTCACGACATAGGACCATGTAGTAACAACGTATTCAGCGATGCCAGACAAGTAGAGCAAAGATCATGCTTTCAACAACCTTTTCATTGTGCTGTGTATAGTTGTAATTATTTGAACACCACAGTAAAGGCCCGAAACATAACACCGATAGACTTGAACCACCGTTAAAACCAATACATACACCTCAGTTTAAATCTATCAAATACAATGGGCTAGCCCTTGGAACCTTTTAAGGCAGTGCTTACTCCCATGACCTTGACACCCCC